TAAGGGTTTTATGATGTGTATTTATAGAAGGTGCTATGCTGCGTATTTATTGAGGGGCTGCATCTGTACTGATTGCTGTGTTCGATAAAAAAGAATCAGGGAATGATCCTCCATTTGTTTGCGTCATCCTTGATCTCTCTGAACAGTGTTTTGTAGTTCTTGTTGTAAAGGTCTTTCAACTGAGACCCAGAGAGGTTAAATGACATTTATCTACTTAGGTAGATGCCAAGGTGTGAATGCTTTTTATTTGAGTCTCTGCCTGTTTGTTGTTAGTGTATAGAAATGCAACTGTCTTTTGCACATTTTGACTATAGGGAGGGTTCAGGCATGGAGAACCAACCATTCTGCCCAGTTCAAAAGTGGACTGGATAAAGAAAATGTGGTACATATACACAACGATGTATTATGCAGTCATAAAGAAAAACAAAATCATGGACTTCGCAACAAATTGGATGGAGTTGGAGACCATCATATTAAGTGATCTATCACAGAAATGAAGAACTGAATACTGCATGTTCTCACTCTGTAACTGTAAGTGGGACCTGAAAAATAGTCACATGAGCACAAGGGAGGGATTGACAGTTGGTGGGCACTGCTAGGGGAGGGAAGGAAAGAGGAAAGTGGGGAGCACATGACAACACAAGGGGTACCTGGTCACTAGGGGGAGTGAGGGCCAGTTAGAAACCCAAAATTTACCTGAATCCAACCTATTTATATAGTTAATCCTCACTTGCACCCCACATCTCTATAATAAAATAAAATAAAATAAAGTAAGATAAGATAAGATAAGATAAAATAATATCAGATCTTCCCTTATGGGGTTTTGGTGAGGATGAAATTAAATAATTGTCTTAAAAACCAGTGTCTGCTCCCTAGTAAGGCCTTACCAACTAATAGCTATTATGATGTTTTTTTCTGAAGGACTAAAATGAGTCAAGAGAGAAAAATGCCTTGGCTAAGCTACTTGGTAGCAATACCAGAATTAGAGACCAGTTTTTCCCATTTTTAATTTCACACACTTTCATTACATCATGCGTTTTAAAACAGTATAATGTTTATTTTCTAGAATTTATTAGCACTAGCATTTCTTCTTGCAGGACATAGCACACTTCCTGTTTTAGTGCAAGCATATGTCCAAATGGTTTCCTTTTGAAAAACAATTTTGATTGATTTCTTTCACTCCTTAATTGATATATCACATTTAGAGTAAGGGCACTGCTTGCTCTGAAAAGGCTAGACTTTCAATTTTCAGGTCTTCAACTACCGACATCACAGTCTGACTTTAAACCCTATGAAATTACACACGACATTTAGAATTGAATAACGATTCTGATTGCTTCTTTGTGTCTGTGAAGAAAATAACATTTATTTTGACCAAGTGTTATATTTTCCCTTTTTCATCAAACAAATCATTCTTATGATGCAAAGACTTCTGTTGTTCTTTATGATTCATTGGTCAACCGTGAAAGAACAAACACATCAAATGTTGAATCTTGGGTTACAGTCTGTTGGTGATTCTCTCTAGGAGATTGCTGTCTCTCCCAGAGAATCATCGACTTAGAGATGACAGCTTTTTCAGAGATTTTTAGCTAAACTCCTTGATCTTTGTAGATGAGAAAATTGAGCTCAGAGAGGTGAAATGACTTTCAAAGTCATCCAGCTAGCTGATGGCAAGGAGGGAATTTAAACCTATATTTTTCTTACTTTAAGAGTCCCTATTGTATCACATCCTACATCAACTCAACATATTTCCAAAAAAGTCTTTCTGTATTATCAGGTGTTGTCAAACTATGGCCTGCAGGCCAAATCTGGCTTGCAGCTTGTTTTTGCGAGTAAAGTTTTATTGGAACACAACCATGCTTGTTTGTTTACTTATTGTTAATGGTTGCTTTCTCACTACAGTGGCAGAGGTTAGTAGTTGTGCCAGAGATCATATATGACTGCAAGCCTAAAATATTTACTATCTGGTTCCTCACAGAAAAAGATTGCCGGTTTCTGTTATATAACAAGCTTGGTTAAAATTCTCTCTTCCTGTTTTTACTCTTTTTGTATCAGACTCTGTTGTCAAAAGCTGAAGAAAGCAGGGTTGGGCAGAGAACAATGGGAGAATTAAAAGGGGAGAAAAAGAGCTAATACTTATTTGTCTAACTTGAGATAGGAAGTATTCTAGAGACTTTATATGTGTCATCTCATTTAATTCTCAAAAAAGTTGCTATAAGACTATTTTCAGCCTCGTCTTTCAAATAAGAAAATTGAGACTCAAAGAAGTGAGAGTTAAGTTGCCCAAGTTTGTGACACTAATAATTAGCAGAAGGAATCAAACCCTTCCTCATTCTAAAAAAAAAATCTGTGTTCTTTCTACTGTATCATGTAATTGTTTTAGTCAAGATTACTTTTCATTTAAAAAATAGCCAGGTGCAGTGGCTCACACCTATAATCTCAGCACTTTGGGAGGTGGAAGACAGAGGATTGCCTGAACTCAAGGATTTGAGGCCAGTCCGGGAAACTCGATGAGACCACAGAAGGGGGTGGTGGCGCGACCTATAGTTCCAGTTTCTTGGAAGGCTGAGGCAGAAGGATTACCTGAGCCCAGCAGGTCAAGGCTGCAGTGGCCATGAGTACAACATTGCACTCAACCTGGGCAACAGAGTGAGACTCTGACCTAAATATATATATGATATAGCATCCCCCAATTGAAAAAAAATTAATTAAAAAATAATAATTTGGTACCAAATAATATTTAATACATAATTAAATCCAGGTTAAAATGGTATAATTCATGGCAACATCATGGATTTTGTTTTGGTTTGAGTGTTTATACAAGTGGGTGAGCTGAACTGTAGATCATGAGAAGAACACATTTCTTGACAATTAATTCACATTTTGCGGTATTGGAGAAGTTTAATGGCCCACAGCAGGTAGAATCGAAGCCCTATATGTATATAACTAATGACATAGATACCATGTCAATGTGCTTTAAAATTTTAATATGTAATATATATATTATATTTTTAGAAATAGGGGTCTTACTATGTTGCCCAGGCTGGTCTCAAATTCCTGGGCTCAAGTAGTCCTCGGCCCTGGGCTCCCAAAGTACAGGGATTACAGTCATGAGCTACTGCTCTCAGCAAAAATGTGTTTTTATATAATCAACAATCCCTTCTCTCCGGGATTTGCTACAATTCTCTAAACCAGTGGTTAACAAAGTTGCCTACTCATCTGAATCACCCATGAAATCACTTAGGATACAGATTCCCAGGATGCTCCCTCTGACTATCTAAGTCAGTATATCTGAGTTTTGTTTGGGAGTCTGTAATTATTTTTCTTTTTTACCTCTGGAGTTGATTTTGAAGATCAGTCAGCTCTGGGAACCACTATGCTAGAGAATGAGTGGGTGAGCAAGGTCTGCATCTGTGTCTCAGTCTTTCCTGGACCTTCTTTATGTCCTCTAAACCTGTCCACTGAGCCCCTGCTGTGGTCAGAGGGCACATTGTTCCTTGTCTTTGCCCAATGAGGCTGGTGGCAAGGGTAGGGAAACTACACACACTATGCTATTTATTTCCTCAGCATCCAGCAGAGTGGTACACATACCTTCTGCCTTATTGCTATGACTGTGACTAGTTAAGCTTTTAGTTCTGTCATTGCCTTTTTTGTTTTCCATTTGCACAAATTGCTCCAATGGCAAATTCAACTCTAGTTTCTTCCGCTCCCTCATTACAAGAGTGAGGTTCATAGATACTTAGAATTTAGATGATAAAAGGTGATGAGTTGTCCCCCATATCCTGCTATTTCTCTCTTCTTTCTTCACTGCCTTTAACAATGTCAGTGCAACCACTGTGGGTTGAAACCAAAAGGGGCTTTGAATCCTGAAAATTTGGAACCCTCAGTCACTTGTTAATTTAAATCTTTCCTCCATACTATGCAAGAGTTGTATTAGCTTAATATAATACAGGTTTTTAAACATAGATATATAATCACACTCAACTCACACTCATTTTTTCCAGCCAGTTTCTCCCTCTTCCATAGAATGATTTAAACAATTGACCTCAATGGTCTTTGCTACTTTTTGGAAATCACTGTTTTTTACTTTGTGTGAGAAAGCTAGTCCTTATTCCCTTAGGATGAGATATGTGCATTTCTTTCTCTTAAGTGAATGAAGACAAAAATATGTGATTTGTGATGACTTCAACATATCCCATATTATAATAATGATGAGTTCTCACAAAGAAAGCAGCACACATAGACTCTAAGAAAAGGAAAGATCATCTTTAATATCCCAAGTAGAACAATAAAGGACATCTACTATTATGAAGGTGTTTAGAATTACTACAACTTACTATCAAAGAAAAACTTAAGTGACAACAAAAATGGAGTCAATGGGGACATCAGAATGACACTTGAAAGACACTAACAAAATATGGCCACCAAATTGGAATTTGCGAGATGAGACATGGTGACTTAGACTATAATACAACATACTTTTATGGGTCATTAGAATTAGAGGTGAAGAAAGGAAGCCTTATGAAATGGCCTTGTATCTTTCTGCCTCTATAAGATAACAGAATACATTTCATAATAGTTGTCTCAAGAAATTTAACTAACCATTCATTTAAATCTAAAGTGGGTAAGCTGTAATTAAATAAGCATTTTCTATCCAAGCTAGGTTGGCCCTAATGAGTGAGTCTAAATCCTTTTTTCAAGATCAAAATTGCCTTTTGTGACAGTACCTCTTTCCTAGTCTGTCCCTCTAATATGGAAGAGCACTTTAGACCCATGGCAAACGTGCCTAACAGATAAAGACAGCACATCCTGTGACTTGTTAAAAGTCATTTTGAGTACAGTTAAAGGTGAAAAGGGGCCCACGATGTGCATTTTAACAAGAATTTTATATGGCCTTGGTACACACGGTCCCTAGGTTACCCTGGCATAAATATTGGGCTACAGAATTTACTAGAAGAGGAAAAAACAAAATAGATCAGGCAAGCGGGGGTTAGGAGTGGAGGTGATGGTAAGAAGAAACCAGGAGGAGCTGGAAGTGGGTTTCAGAAAGGAGTTTTGAATAAGGGGCCAGGAGGAGAGACAATTGTGGGAGTGATAGCTATGAAAGATATTAAGAAGGACAAAGAGTTTAAAGATAGTTTGCAGGCTTTATACAAGGATGTTCTCCTTGGCATTTTCTTGTGAGGCTGTAGTAGAGATTTCAATTGTTTCTAATGTTTTTTCTTTGACTATTACTCTAGGCTGAAACCCATCACCAAGGAGCCCAGTTAGAGTCCCATACTACACTGACACAGACCAGATCATGTGGTATGTTTGGAAGTCAGACCCCATAAACTGTTTACCTGTCAGAGCTTTACCATAAAAAGAGGCATAACCAGGCCCTGAAGACTCGGACTCCCAATGGGACCCTATCATTCCGTTCTCTATGGTTAGGCCCTCGGTAGACCTAAGGAGAATTGCTGGGGCAGTGGGTCTGAGGAGCTACCTGGGGTCTCTCACAGACTGTCTTCACTTGTAGTGTTTACTTGTTTCTTCCTAATTATTTTCAAGACTGGAAGCCAGAAATGGATCTGAAAAGACAGAAGAGTAGATGAATTAGCACTGGGGTCATACCAAACACCTCTGGCATAAACTTTTCATTATCGGGTTAAAGGTGTCAGGAAAAAAATGCCAAAAGACTCTGAAATGGACAGAAAAGCTTATCTGTGTGGGTTATCTTGCTCTTTCACTGTCTATGAGCTACTTCTCCATTCTGTAGGTTATAGATGGCTGACAGCAACAATTTAAGTAATTCTTGTCCATGACATGCACATGAACTTCACCCTGCAAAGCACAAGTGATTCCTCCCATTCCCCTTGTGGAAGAAGCCAGCTGTGAAGCAGATTCATTTCGGTATCCCTGATGGCCTATATATGTGTATGTTCTTTGAAGTATCATTTTAGTTAGTTTTAATTTCTTACTATTCCCTCATAAATAAGTTAAATAAAATCTTTGATATGTATCCATTTTATGAGACACACGAGAGTTCTTATGTTTATATAAATATAAATATATTTTAAAATACATAATATATAAAATATATATATAATAAAATATATATAATATGTATTTTATATAAAATACATATCATATAAATACATACAAAATACTAGAGAATGAGCAAGTCTTTGGCATTTACGAAGTTGCGGTAGATATTTTCTTTTGCTTTTTCTTTACCAGGGAATGCTTATCTTATGAGGTCTTGTTGCTTTATAGCCAATACGGAGGCCTTTTCCAGTTACCTCTGAACAAACTTACTGGAAACCAATATTTTGAAGATTATCTTGTCAAGTCCGCTGGATCAACATTTAAATCACAAAGCTAAAAGCCCAACCATATACATGTGTTAATTTCCTCCCAATAGTCCTGTCTACTGCTGGGATACAAGGCCCACTTTCCTTTTGCCTCTCATCAACACTTCCTTAGTTTCAGATTACAACCCCAATCCCAGCCTTACCTTTGTGAGGTATACACTCAGTTTCCTTTTGACTTCTCCCACTGGCTGCTTTGATCTTTTCCTAAGCAGCTTTGTATGCAGGTATTGGACGCGCTCTCTCTCCACGCTGGGGTAGAAGGATGCTAACACCAGGATTTTAAGCTGCATCAGGATGGAGGACAGCAGTCCCAGCATCACTAATATCACAAGGATAACACTGAGAGGAACCCAGGTCTTAGATAGGAGAAGCGTTGGCTTCGGGATGCAGTTGGGTTCAAACACAGATATGTTAAAGGAAGAATCATGGATGATGTCTTGCGTTCCTTGCTTCTAAAATGAAAGGATAAAATAATCAAGAGCCATTCTACTTTTGTACTCAGTCCTTGTCATTCTTGATACTTCTCTGCAACATACAGAATTTATCTTCAAATATTCAGGGAGCTTTAGCTAAAAACAACTATAACATCTCCTTTTGTGGGTTGAAATTGGAGCAAAGGAGAAGGGATGCACATTATTTGTAACTATTGCCGTGTATCCCATAGTGGGTTTGGGGAGAAACAGTACAGATTCCCTTGAGAGAAGTGTATTAAATAAGTTTGTCTACTCTATCCCTTCTTTTGAAAGTAACAATGGCCATTAGACTGAAGGCTTTAAGATGGCAGAGAAATCTGTTTAACTTTAGTCTGCTGTTTTCCTAACAAATTTGACTACATAACTCATTTTCATGGAATACTTGTTCTACACTTTGTGGGGTTAATTAAAGATGGGGATAATCAGCTAAACTGGAAGAGAAGATTGTTCTGGAACATAGTCCTTTAAGACACTGTCATATCCCTCTATCTGGTCAAACTCCCTTTCAGTGGACCACAAGGTCACAAAGATTTTGAGGCACTAAACTACATTCTAAATCAACCTTAGGAGGGATTATTCTTATTTAGTGTACTATATCCCCTTTTGAATTGATGTGTTGACCCTCAAGCCTACTTCACTGAAAGAGACTCTAAAATTCTGTTTGTGGAGGTCTTAAAAATAGGAAATTTTCTCATCTCTCATGGATGCTCAGGAATGGGTGTCTTCCTTTCTTCTTGAAGGCAAGAAAACAAACCAGTTACTCTCAGCACTGACATAGAGGACTAGAGATGACTTTGTGCCACCCAGCCAAGCCACCCTCAGGGGACATGTGTGCTGATTCAGCTCTTTCTTCCCCTGACCTGGGAAAGTCATTTAATCTCTCGGTGGATTTGTTTTCTAATTTGGCAAAACAGGAATTAATGGACCAGATCCTGCCCATGAATAAACTACTCCCAGTGCAAATTAAACACCTTGGGGAGGAAGCATTAGGCTTAGAGATTGGATCATTTAGTAAGTTATTATCACCCTAGCACCACCGAGCCCTGGGGCCAAGAAAAGGTAAATGACTTCCCAACAAGAACCAGGACCACACCCAGAGGACACCCAGAGGTGCTTGCAAAGAACTTGGAAACACCAAACCTGGGACCTCAACATACATCAAGTCAAATCTATTATTTCCCCAGCACTGTGAATAAGTAATGAAAAACATTTGTGTTCCCTCTCCTTTTCTTTTATTAAAAAGACAGTCCGCTTACAATTAAATGGAGAGATTTCATTCCCCAGAGCAAAGGCACACACTCTTTTTTAATACTATTGAAGAAACAAACACATCGATTGAGTCAGTGATGAGAAATCCTGCAATAAGAAAGCAGCGGGTGTTCGATCTAGGAAGAAGTTATTTAGGAATTTAACTGGGGATTTTGCAGTTGGGAGTCAGGGCTTCTTAAGGGTTGAGTCAACACTTACTTGTATGGGTTTGGTGGAGGGTAATGTGGAGGACGAGTTAACTCTTTCAAGATGCCAAACAATATGCTAAATGGTACCCTGATGTTTTAAAATATGTTTACCTCTACAATTTGCTGAGACAGTGTTAAGTAATGAATGGAGGGAAGGCTCTGGTGGCAGACAGTCCTTAAAAGTTAGTGTGGCCAAATGCTCAATAAGTAGACACTGTGGTTGTTTTTTACTTATGCTGCCCACCCATGCAGGTAGCTCTACATTGGCCATTTCCCATTTTCTTTATGTAAAACATTTGTTTAAAACTGCATAAAAGCAGGAGAGAAATATTGGCAACACTTCGTGCCAATGTTTCTCCTCCTGCTTGACTTCTCCTTTGGAAATCTACAGCAGTGAAGAAGACCAGGCACCTCCAAGGGCATCCTGGGATAAGGGCAGGGCATTGCCAGTCATGCGGAAGCTGGCTGCTGGCAGCACGGTCTCCAGGCACGGTAGGAGAGATTTGAGAGGTGCCAGCTCTACTCACATCTGCTCTAATGCCCACCACCCTGCTATTGTTACACATGTATATTATGGCCTCTCCCTGCTCCCAGGACGAGAGTCTCTCAAGGAGGTCATCACACTCTAGACATCTTTGAATCCTCAGGACCCAGCAATGCCTTAAGATGGTGGGCTGTTTTTTGGAAGGCAGAACTTACTTTTTCCCTTTTTTCTAAAATGGGAAGACTTCACAAAACAGGCATGGGTATTGGCTGAGAGGGAAACAAATGAGAGAAAGCCAAAACAAGAAGGAGGGAGAGGAAGAATTGCGAGGGGAGGCCAAGAAAGGAGACCACAGGAGGAAAATGCAAAAGGAGAAAGGCCCTTTAACTAGCCTAGATCAAACACGTCTGAAATTCTTGCTTGGCTTTTAGTTGAAACACGACTTCCATTATCCACCCTGCTCCAAATATCTAGAGCAACAGGGTGCCTTGTAATTAACTGAACTGTTCAGAGGAAGCAGAGAACTCAGAGTAATCAACTCTGAGAAGCAGCCCAGGATGAGAATGGCGGGAGCTGGGGGACTCTATCTGCTGAGCCAGAGGAAAGGGGAGGAAAAGTGTGGACGCAGCAGGAGGATTCGAGGCCCTCAGAGATAGAAATGGAAAGTGGGTTTCAAAGCAGACTTTATAGGCAATGGTGCTGCCATTTCCCCTCTGTGACCTCCCCGGCAGCCGGCACAATTCGGTGAAGTTCGATAAAGAGGAGGGCAAATCACAGACGTGAAAACAGTTGATGGTGTTGTCACCAGTCTGACCTAGTGCACACATTGCATACACATGTATGCACATGCACACAATGCACACATGCACACACATTCCACACTCCACACTCCACCTGCTTCAGCTTCACAATTTCTTAGTTAAAAAAAAAAAGACAAAGTGTCAGACAATAAAAGACAGGATGCACAGAACCACAGTCTTCATTTGCTCTCAGCTGCGAGAGGAGAGAGAATACAGGAGGAAAAGTCAGATTCCTCAAGACACAGGAGGCACCAACTCAGAGAAAGACGCTGTCTTGGCTAATTAAGATTTTCCCCAGATCCATCTGACGGCGATTAGAAGTTAAATTCTTGACTTTGTTGTTTGGGTGAAGGGTTGAGAAAGGCAGTTCTCCATCTTGGCTGCACATTAGAATTACTTGGGGAGGTTTTAAAAACCTCTCAGCCCAGTCCAATTAAGTCAGAAACCCTGGAGATTCTGCAGAGAGGTACTGGTTGATTGGCTTTTTCAGCCCCATAGTGAGGCAACTCCACATCCAGGGTTAAGGAGCACTGGCTCAGAAGGTCATGGCTTTCCAACAACACCCAGGACATAGTTTCTCAAAGTGTGGTCCACCTACCTTGAAATCACATGGGGTGTTTTTTTTTATCAAAAATGTTGTCTCAGCCAGGCTCAGTGGCTCAGCCTGTAATCCCGCGCCTTTGGGAAGCTGAGGTGAGTGGATTGCCTGAGCCCGCGGGTTCGAGACCTGCCTGGGCAGCGAGACCTCATCTCTATAATAAATCAAAAAATCACCTGGGCATGGTAGTGCATGCCTGTAATTCCGGCTACTCAGAAGGCTGAGGCAGAAGGATCACTGGAGCCCAGTGGGTCGAGGCTGCAGTGGCCAGGAGCGGCCACTGCACTCCAGTCTGGGCGACAGTGTTAGACTCCAACTCAAAAAAAATAAATAAATAAAAGATGTCGTCTCATTTAAAACAAAATCTCCAGAAATGAAGGGCTGGTGCTCTGTATCCAATCTAGGAAATTCTTAAGGTTGAGAACCACTGACCTAATCTAGCTAAAAAAAACAAAGTGTAGTTAGGTAGCATTTTTTTTTTTAAAGTAGGTGCTACCTGGTATTTATACCAGCCCTATGATTGGGTTACTTAAGAGTCCCTTGTCAATAATCACCCTTTTAGACATTACACCGATGCACTGGGTCTCTCCTATGTTTGATAAGGATTCAGAATGCACAGAAAAGAAGTTCTCATTCTGAGGTGTCCAAAGTCTACTCACACGAGTCCGAGGGTGTGAGGAGAGCTGGCTCTAAACCTCAGGCTCTTGAGTTCACGTCAGATACTCCTGCTTGAGAATCAACTTCATGTTCAACATCAGAGACACCAATTCCCACATTTCAGTATTTGTTGAGTGTAAGAGGCTGAAAAGTGACCCCTCCAAAGACATAAGGTCCTAATCTCTGGAATCTGTTAATGTCACTTTATTTAGAAAAAGGATCCTTGTAAATGTGATTGAGTTAAAGATCTTGAGATGAAGAGATTACCCCCAATTGTCCTAACACACTCACATGCATTCTTTAAGAGAGGCAGAGAAAGTTTTTCCATACACAAAGGAGTGGGCCATGTGAAGACAGAAGTAGAGATGGGAGTGATGCAGCCACAGGCCAAGGAATGCCAGTGGCCAGCAGAATCTGGAAGAGGCAGAGTGGATTCTCTCTAAGAGTCTGAGAACGTGGCCCTACAAACAACTGATTTCAGCAAGCAACACCCATTTCAGACTTCTTGCCCCTAGCCCTATAAGAGAATAAACTTCTGTTGTTTTAAACCACCCAGTGTGTGATCATTTGGTGGAAACTAGCATCTGTAGAAAACTAATACAGACTCACTCTAACATCAGGACTTCAATTCGATGCAACCTACATTTGTTGAACTCTTTCTATGTATCTGGCGCTTTACTAGGTGCTGGGGATGCAAAGGTGCATTAGACACTGCCCTACCTCACGTTCACCATCTTTTGCAAGACAGACCAGCCAGTAGCCATGATGCCTTGTAACAAGTGCCTGTGAGCCCCTACCTCTCTGTGCAGTCTCAAGTGAACCTCCAAGCTCGGCAAGCTTTGAAACTGTTTGCTCACTGAGAAAATGAGTCTATACAGCAGATAATCTACAGCTGCAAACAGCACCCAGATGTAGAGATGGGTAAGTATGGGGAGGAAAAACAGTCCCAGGTTTTTCCTTTCTTTAGGAGTCAGCCAGAAAGACGGGATGATGACATACTTCTGCTTTTCCTTTTGGCTCAGTGGGAGTACACAGGGCCTCTGTTGATGCTTCTCCCTTTCATCAAACTGAACAAAGTGTCTGGTGATATAGATGTTTTCATACTTCTGACCACAAGGGCCTAAAAATCTCTTCATGAAGAGGCCAGTGCCAAGTAGGACCAGCAAAAACCCTGCGGAGGCAAGTAGCTTTTGACCCAGGGAGGACAATACTTCTGTGGCGGTTGTCATCTGGTATAAGACGCTCAGGACTTCCCCTTTGGTATCATTTAACTGTGCCTCCAGGATGTGGCTGGGACTGAAAAGAGAGACCGCCAGGGTCTGGTTCCAAGAAACAAGGTCATCAAGTAGACTGAGTGGAGTGGCAAGGCCATAAATCCACTGAATTGCCTCAATATATTTTTTCAAAAGTGGAAAATGTATGGAAAAGCTCTTTGCCCTTAGGTTGCAAGTCATACTGTCCAGGAGACCTTTAAAGTTGTGAAAAATATTTTCCACATGTCCAAAGATGACTATCCCTGTGCCAGCAGCAATCAAAGCGTTCCTGCCTTCACGCAGGCCACAAGAGAGAAAGACGAGAAGAATGAAACACCGTGCGTGCTTGGTGCAACATAGCAGGACACACATAATCATCCAGGTGGTGGTGAACGCTATGGTTGATGACAGAAACCAGCAGAAGGTCACAGAGAGGAGGCCCACTGAAATAAAAGCAACAAAACAGCAAACTCCCAAATGCTGGATAAAGTCCCTCCATCCAAGGCTTTTTGGAGACACAAAAATCCTCCAAAGACTTAGGAAGATATTGATGCCTGCAGTCTGGATACCCATTCTTCCTGCATCCCTGAAAGTGTAAAGGACACCAAGTTTAGAGGGCATGGTGGTAGACTGCTTGCAAAAAAAAAAAAAATTGGCCATAATTATTTTACCCCTCCCTGTGTCTACCCCCTTGCAACATGACTTCTCTGACAAAGTGAGAGAAATAGAATCCATCAAGAGGTGGGTCTTTTTCTCCATCCCTTGCATCTGGGCTGGCCTTGTGACGTCTTTGGCCAATAGAATGTGGCAGGAGTGACTGGCAAGTCTGAGCCTGCCTTGCTCCCACACACCCTTCTGGTACTCTGATGTTCACAAGTCCATCTGCATTCTCTTCTTGATGTGACTGTCATTATTCACCACCAATTGAGTGTTTTAAAGAAACACATACTACTCTCTTACAGTTCGGTAGTTCAGAAGTAAAATGGGTTCATAGTGCTGTAATCCTTCTGGAGACTCCCGGGGAGAATCTGTTTCCTTACCTTTTGCAGCATCTAGAGGCCACCTTCACTTCCCAGCACAAGGATCTTCTTTCTCCATCTCAAAGCCAATAATGTTGTATCTGTCATCCTTTCTGACCTTGGCTTTTATCTTTATATCTTCTCTCCACAAGACTCATCCTCTTGCCTCCCTTTTATAAGAACCCTTGTTAGCCGGGCTTGGAGGCTCAGCCTGTAATCCCGTGTTTTGGGAGGCTGAGGTGAGTGGACTGCCTGAGCCCGTGGGTTCGCGACCCACCTGGGCAACTTGGTGAGATCTCATCTCTACAATAAATCAAAAATTAGCCAGACGTGGCAGCGTGTGGCTGTAGTTTCAGCTACTTGGAAGGCTGAGGCAGAAGGATCACCAGAACCCAGCGGGTTGAGGCTGCAGTGGCCAGGAGTGGCCACTGCACTCCAGTCTGGGTGACAGAGTGAGACTCAAACTCAAAAAAAAAAGAACGCTTGTTAATACACTAGGTGCACTAGATAATCCTGGGAAATCTCCCAGTCTCAAGACCCTAATCACATCTGCAGATTAAGGGTAAGGTAACATATTTGAGGGTTCTGGGTTAGGACATAGACATCTTTGTTGTGGGTTTGAGGGGCATTATTCAACCAGCCATACCAGGTTGTACTGCTGGTTGATGAGAGGTCCCTGACCAGTCAGTCTACCAACAGCCATCCAACTGCCAGACTTGTGGGAAAGGCCACCCTAGACCAGTTGGTCTCCAGCCAGCCCACCAGCTGACCACAGACACATGAGTAATAATAACCGCTGATTTACTTTAAGTGACTTAATTTGGTACAGGCCTGGTAGGAGGTTATTGTTAACTGATAAAGACAACAATCCTATATCATAAGCCTTAATAGTTGAACCCTAGGCTGATGAATAGGCTGACCTGTCAATAAACTACATTATGTAAGATTACCCTTAAATAGTCATCTATTTTCTTGTGCTCTATACAGACCAGAAAGCAAACGAAGGGCATTCAGACTTAAATGTGGAATTGGACTGAGGCCATCGTGTCTCTGCTTTGTAACCATTGCTCTTTCCTCCTCTGCCCTTATCCTCCAAGTAGAAGGTAAGAAACATACAAGGAAAATCAGAATATGTTTGTCACTGAGTTAATTATCTCTTCTTTCCTGCCCCAGACCTGGAATAATTAAAATGAAGGTGCTACAGATTTAGGTCTGTTATGCACTCAGAGACATTTGGATTCGCTTGGAATGGCATAAAATAAATTTGGCATTCTTTGCTCTTGATTGAGTATCTAACAAGCATTATACCATATATATGAGGACATTGATTGCGTTTTGAAACACTCTTAAATCCCTTTGTATGTCTAATAGGACGGGGCTAGATTCATGGAATAGCTTAATACCATTAGAACCAGTGAATCACATGTGTCACATGAGAGACAAACCCAGGCCTTGACTGAAGGTGTAAACTGAGCACCTAGAGGTGAGAAGTGATTCTCTTTCTGTGTTCAGGCTGAATGAGGTTAATGAAGGGCAGGGATATGATGGAGGGAATAGGCATATTAAGAATAATCGTGTGAGCCGGGCTCAGTGGCTCAGCCTGTAATCCCGCGCCTGTGGGAGGCTGAGGTAAGTGGATTGCCTGAGCCCGCAGGTTCGAGACCCCCCTAGGAAGCGAGACCTCATCTCTACAATAAATCAAAAAATCAACCGGGCGTGGTAGTGCGTGCCTGTAATTCCGGCTACTCGGAAGGCTGAGGCAGAAGGATCGCCGGAGCATAGCAGGTCGAGGCTGCGGTGGCCGGGAGCGGCCGCTGCACTCCAGTCTGGGCGACAGAGTGAGACTCCAACTCAAAAAAAAAAAGAATAATCGTGTGTAAATGTCTCCAGCAAGAATAGAGGGACTTACAACTCCTACCACATAAACTGAGTGGAAATGCTCAGAGCAGAAAAGAGATATGGGACGAACTCGGGTGTTGAAGAAGGATCATTACCATGTGGGACTGGCCTTAGCAGGAATTCCAGATTCCATAGGAGGATTTTCTTACTCCATCAGGAGGAAAGAGTATCAGACTGGCCATTAAGACAGGGACCAGCAAAAGGCCATTACTCTTTTTCCCGGAAAGCTTTGCTTGCTTTTGGAATCAGAAGTTGGATTGAAGGTTGAAGACAGAGTCGACTGTGACCATGGGTCCCTATGCTCCTGAACTGTCCCCAGCACTGCCGACCCGAATCAGATCTGCTCCATGGCACGGGCAGGATGCCTCGCCAGGCAGGAGGGCAGTAAGCAGTGAGCAAGATGCCCAGCACCAGAGCAGGTCAGGAGCTGCTGCCTCTCCTCCCACGCATGCTCCCATGCACTTTCTTTGCCATTGCTTTGGATCCGACCTCAAACCGTTATTGACCAATGGACACCCGAATACATGCTAACTGCCTATTTTATTTTAGATATTTTTCATAAAGCATCTTTCCACTTGCCCAGCCCCAAAGCCTGAGTGTGCTCTTTCCATTTTGTGCAGTGAAAACTGAGGCTTCAAGTGCTTACTGAAATTTGTCAGTGATCACACAGAGTAGATGGGACAGGGAGATTTACACCAGGTCTCCCTGACTCCTGGGTGGTCCCTCTCCCCTGCATCAGGCCCGGATTCCACAACTCTGGGTTATATGACAGGATGCTTAGCTCATCGAGTCTGTTCCTGCTGGAGACACATTACACTTTCTGTATCTGCTTCTGCCAGTGACTGCTTTTAAGAGCTGAGTCGTATATCACAAGCCCATTTCCACTATCTGCTTGTTTTTTGCTTCTGCATCAAAATAGTTGACTCTAAAAGGATATGTTTCAAATGAGCAAATCCTTCTCTAAAGTAAATCAGAAATCCCAGCTATTTTATTTTTTTGATTTCCTTTATGAGGCACAATTTTGCTTGCTTCCTAAAAAATTAATAATGTGTTCTCTGGATTCATTTTCCCCTTCTCTTGCCTTCGTCCTTATACAGTATGTTCTTAATACAGACATTTCTCTAAAAGTATGAAAGAGATTTATTAAAATTTTAACATTCTGCAATCAACTCTTAGTTAATATCAGTTAACTAAGATATACAACTGCAATTTTGTCCTGTAAGAGGAACATGTTTTCTTAACAACCAACAGCTCTAATATTATCTTCCTTGTTTTTGTGCTAAAAACAGCACATCACCCAAAGACACCACAACTTTCTGCAGTGAGAAGACTGAAGCCATCCTCTCCTATTTTGGTAGCTCAAACCATGAAGCAGAGTTTAGAACGATGAGCCCAGACATGTGCCAGCCTGCATTTCTGGCACCATGAGGTGTGGCATTGATTTCTTTTCTGTTCCTTGTTCTCCCTAATTGAATATAAGACCTGTCTGCTCTTTCCTGGTGAGGTTTAATGAGGGCAACTTTAGCAAGCATCTTGAGACTCCCTGGATATAATGTGCTCAGTCAATGCAATCCATTTCTTATTTCTTGCTGCCACACAAAATTGAGAACTTCCAGATTGCTCTTTAGGCAAAGATTGAATGATCAGGTTGGTAAGAGGCTTGGAGACAAAAGTGGATTACACCACACCCCAGCTCTGCGATGCCATCCATGCCTCCTGTAGGCCTCTGTTGTTTCCTTCCACTCCTATGGTGGTATGGCCATACTGCTGATCTTTCTTTGGATATTCTCAATTCTTTCCTTTTTAGGCAAATCAGTGACTCAGAATTTTGACAAGCTAAGCAGCTGGTTTCTTTCTCACAGACTTTTTTAAGCAGATACTCAGATTCCTAAGTGTTCTTTTTAAAGCAGGAGGGAATCTTATAGCTCACAGTCTCTTAGACTTGAATGCGTAATCACTGGGGGACCCTTGTTAAAAATGCAGTGTTTGATTCAGAAGGTCAGGGTGGCACCTGAGATTCTGCATTCCTAACACATTCCCAGGTGCTGCTGAAGCTGCTCATCTGAAGACCAGCCCTAAGGTAGCAAGCTCGAGGATTTGGCCCTGTCTGATAGAACTTCTGTGATGTCAAACATGTTCTATGCTTGCACTGTCCAACATGGTAGACACTAGCTACATGTGACTATTGCACACTTGAATAGAGCTAGTGCCACTGAGGGATCAAATTTTTAATTTTATTTAATAATTTAAATTTAATTTAACTACAATTTTATCTTATTGTCATTTTTAATATAGATAACAAGTAATTTACATTTAAGTTATGGTTGGATCAAATTTACATTATTAACATGTCAATGCATCACTGATGTCTGTGTCTTGGAGAGCACAGATCCGGGTGACTATGACTGACACCTAACTGGATGATTTTCACAGTTGAGGAAAATAAAGTCTAAGGAGGCTAAGGGGTTTGCCAAGGCCAACCTGGCATCAGGAAAACTGATGAGACCTTAGTTTTCCATCACTCAGTGACATATTTCCTATCACATTCACGTCTCATCTCTGACTTTTCATAAACCTTGTTTTAAAAATCCTACTATGATGCCTGGGTAAAGAAGTTAAAGTTTCCTACACACCTGCCAGAGTCTGCTAGTACTGCCATAATAGACTA